TAAATTAACTATAAATATTTAATGTTAGAATTAATAATTTAATCAAAGTATATGTGTATAATATAATCTTACAATTGATAATGTTAAATTTTTATTGCTAAATTTATGAGTTACAAGATACATAAATATATGCTACTAGTGGATGGTTAAATATCAATATATATATATATATATATCAACAAAATTTTGATATAACCGACAATCATTATTGATTATCGATTATTTAACAATCAATAAAAATTTTGTCGATTATGCTTATATCTTACTTGGCAAAAAAAAGTTGGATTTCGCAGTGTAACAAATTCAAAATATAACCAATAGAATATAATCGATAGAAAAGTTGTCAATTATATTTTCTTTATATATATATATATGAGGCCAGAAACAGAATCTTCAAACATTCTCTCATCTCATCTTCTCCAAAATTTCCCATCTTCCTTCCCTTTTCTAGAGATGCGCACGCCCCATTTTTCTCTTTTACCTTGTTTCATCTTCTCTCTTTCTTCTACCTTTCTAAATCTTTCATTGTATTTTTCCCTTTTAGCTTTCTTCATCCTTCCTTCTCCCATTTTAATTCTTAGTCTTTTTCCCTTTCTAGCTCCCTCTCTTCTTCTTCTTTCATTGTTTTTACATTATTTCACCCTTTCCCTTTAATTCCTTCTACCTTTCTAATCTTGGGTTTTTTATATTTTTATATTTTTTTTCATTTATTTTAGTTTCTATATTATTCAATTATTTTTATTTGATCTAATAACAATTTTTTTTTTTCTTTTACAGGAGGTTATTAAGGTTGAAATCATTATAAGGTAACTTCTAATACTACTTTTTGATCTATGCTTTCAATTTCCCTTCTTTTTTTTTTATTATTTTCATAATATTTGTAAAATATTATGGTTTTTGAATTCATTTTTGTAGATTTATCTATATACATATATATTTTGGTTAATATTTATAATTTAATTAATAAATATAAAATTATTTTTTTAATTTTTTTAAATCAGATACGAAAATAATTAACAGCCATGTTTGTCAAAATTATACATGTGTATAATCGACAGAAAACATTTTTGACGATTATACTTATTTTTGACACAGGTTTATTTGACAATTTTTTCTGTCAATTATGTCTGTCAATTATAGGTATAACTGACAAAATTTTTTGTATAACCGACAAAATTTTCTGTCGATTAAAAACTGTTTTCTAGTAGTGTATTCAATTTAAGCATTGTTAAATCATTTTCATATTAAAAAAAGAAAGGGAAAAAAATCAAAGTCTATAAAGAAAATCTGGATAAAAATACCATGAAAGTGACATTTGAGATTCCAGTGTCTTGGATATTTCTTCTTTAAAAAAAAAAGCAAAAGTCAAATCTCACAACTCAAAAGGTCACAAACAGTCAATACCTAGCTAATGAAGTGAAAATGAAAAAGAAAAATGAACCTAACAAATTGGGAATATATATTTATGTTTAATGACAAATCAAATTCAAATTAGAAGGAATGGATATCATTTGAAAATTTTAAAGACTAAGAAGGTAGAAAATATTGAAGTTTGTTGAATTTAGGGGAAACATATATATTGTACTAAAAGCAAGCTAAAAAAAAATTGAAAAATAAAAAATATAAAGGAAAAGGCACTTGGTAAGAATACACTGGCGTTCCTCTCAAATTCCAGTTCACCAGTAGACATGAATAAAGGTTCAATCCTCTCGCCTGGAAAGGAAGTAATACTTCATTTGAGAACTTGACAAAAAGTCATAATAATAAGCTACGCTAAATATCTCTAAACCACAAAATTAACTCTACCACCCACCTTATTAGTGCCTTGTCTAATGTCGTTATTACCTCCCTCTCTGAATGCTCCATCCAATGTCCAATCCAGAACTGTTGGTCGTCTCACTTCCACATAACATCAGCGCTGATAATATTTTGTTGGAATGAATTCAAAGCATATATAAGAGAAAACTGTCAATTTAGAAATGGTAGCCAAAAACTTAGATGTATTAGTTTCTTCAAAACACTTAGTTTTATCTGCAAATTCAAATAATACTCAAGAATATCCACAGGGTTAGTATCTAGATCTTTAGAAATGCTTCACATATGAAATGGGAGTATTGATCCAAGTTGAACAAGACAAGCAAGTATGCATTGAAGCTTAAAATGGTATTTTGACACGTTAAAAATATGTAAGAAAATGGTTGGTAGAAAGAGATTAAATCTTACCATGTTCAAATATCATTCAATAACAAACTAAAAATCATTCTGATTAAATAACCATTGATCAAGATACTTATAGTTATATAACATGAACAAATGAGTAATATATATTTTTTTTAATACAGAAAACTTGATGGAAAGGCATAAAAACAACAAGCTAATTTAAATATCTCTAAACCAAAATAATTGTGTATGGACCTTATCAGCACCTTATCAAAAACTACTCTTACCTCTCTCTCTTTCTCTTCTCCATCCATTCCCCAGCCCAAAGCCATTGAGGTTGTCTCACTTTCACATAAAGTACATGAACAAGTAACATCAGTATTGAAATACATTTTTTGAAATAAATTCAAAATTAGAAAACATATAAGAGAAACTGAGTCTCTTGATAAATGCTAATCAAAATTTGCATGCGTTAATTTCTGCAAAATACTCAGTTTCATGTGTAGACTCCAATAACATTTATAAGATACATCCAAAAATGAAATGAGAGTTTGGATCCAATTCAACAAGATATAAAAATATGCATTGAAGCTTAAAACGAATGAAATGTTTATCATACTTCTTTTCAACTTTTGATGCTTGCTGTCTCTCTGATACATGTAAAAACATAACTCAAAAAGGGTTTGTAGAGAGAGATTAAATTTTAAAAAACATGCAATGTTCAAATCATTGAAAAACAAACCGAAGAACATTCTTATCAGACCACAATATTTCACAATATATGTACAACATCAGTATAATCTGCAGTAACATTGTTATTAGTTGCAAAAGATATCTAGAGCAATATTCCTAAAGGCTATTTAGAGAGAGTATAACCAGTTTCTTTCAAAAAAATTAGATTAATGTGTTCAATGTAAGAAAAATCATAACACATGGCAATGCAAAGTTATTTATGCTCTCAGTAAAACATAAGACCTACTCACCACAGATGGTTAATATTAATCACAGATTTTTCTGCTTGCTGAAATTCATGCAAGAAATCAAGAAAGCAATATATATTAAGTAAGAAAAGGAAATAATCACAAGAAAAGGAAAATAAATAATGAAAAAGATGATTTACCTAATCATCACAAATCTCCTCACAAGCTGAAATCGTGCATGTCCTTTCCCTAAATGGATCGTCATTCTCCATTATCTAGCAGAAAATTAGGAAAAATAGTCTCCTAAAATTAGAGTGGTGATTAGCAAAAATTTCAAGAAAACAAAAAGCAAAACAGTGGATGGATGATGCCCAAGAAAAAATATAGAAAGAAGAACAACATATCCTAGAGACAACAATTCTCACCCATGGGAGCTCCAAAATCTGATACCCACTTCCCCTTTCTGCTCAAGCTTATCAAAAAAACACAGGAGAAGAATTGTCAGAAGATACCAATTTGCCAGAGCATTTTCTTCACTGCAATCAATTCAAAAACCAGTATCAAAAATTGAAATTAGATCCTCAAGAATATCAAGACATTATCCTTAAAATGCTTGAATATTTTGAAGCAGAAATCTACCAAAGAATTAACTGCAAAAGCATGTGAAGAAATTAATCTCCTATGATTTTACCCTTTAACAATAAACCTTGTGAGAAATTAATTATCTTAGCAAAACAAGCAGCAGATGCTCAGTGCTAACACGAATTGGAAAAATTAGGCAAACAAGCAAATTCAGCTCCAAATGTGTACTTACTCTTCTGGAAGCTACAATAACAAATCTTAATCTGGATCCTTCATAATTTAGTGGAGAGAAAAGTGAGATGAGAGAGAGAGGACCTAGTAAGAGAATCACTCGACCGTTCCCGACGGCCTTTGATCCGCCGGGAAACAACAATCCTCAAACAGATTTTCACCTAGTGAGAGAGCGACAACCTAACCTCAGGCACCATAACCAATTTCAGCCGAGAGATAGGCTGCAGGGAACTGAAAGGACAGCAGGAGATATCTACAAGAGACGGCGAGAAACACCTTATGGCTATGGCAAAGGAATACTGGAACAAGCTACATCATATTTCTTCACCAACTTCCCAGAGGATTGGGAGATTGGAGCTATGTGGAAGGCCTTCATCAAATGCGGGAGAGCGATACAAGTATATGTAGCGAAGAAACGAGACAGATGGGGCCATCGCTTTGGATTCGCTCGCTTCCTGGGGGTCAAGAACCCAAGAGAACTGGAGGAAAAGCTCAACCAAATCAGAGTGGGTGAACAGTCTCTAAAAGCTAACATAGCAATATTTTCAAGGGAGGAGACCAAACCAAGGCAAAGGGACTTGAAGGAAGTAGGGAGGATGGAATCAAAGAGAAATGCAAGGTCTTATGCAGAAGTCCTGAAAGGAGCAACAGAAAAGGGAAGCATTAAGAAAATGAGGGAATCTACAATTCCCTTGAGGAAGTGGCAATCGAAGAAGCTGGAAAAGGAGGAAGGGCATGGTTTAGAAGTTATAATAGATAAGGAGGATGTTGAGTGGCTTGAAAAAAGCTATGTGGGGAGAGCGAGGTGCCCGGAAATCATATGCACCTTACAAGAAAAGTTTCTGATGGAGGGATACTTTTCTGCAAAGGTCACCCCAATGGGTGGCAATTTGGTGCTACTTTCAAGTGAAGATGCTGATGAACTTAAACAGCTAGTGGAGGAGGGTAGGGACTGGTTGGCTCAATGGTTTACCAAGGTGCATCCATGGTCTCCAACCGAGGTGGCTTCAGAAAGGTTTACGTGGATCCGATGCCAAGGTGTACCACTTCAAATATGGAAAAGCAGCTTCTTTGAGACAGTTGCATGCTTGTTCGGCAGATTCATTTCGTTGGACAATAGCACAATAAAAAAGACTAGGCTGGATGTGGCCAAAATTTTAGTTCTAACACCAGTCCAAGATAATATTAACAGAACCTTGAAGGTTAAAGCTGGGGAATCCAATTTCCATATCAGAGTTAGCGAAGAAGTAGGGGTGGATAATATCTTCTCTTTGAAGACAGATTTCCGCTTGTGTGGTGTGGACAGTTCAGATGAAGATGATTGGTCTGATGAATCAGTCAATAGTGATCAGTACTCAAATGTGAATAAGGATGAATGGCAAATACTGGCTGATGATGGAAAGGAGTTTGCAACGGTGGAGAAGTTGCCGGCGTCGGAGGATGATGAGGAAGGGGACAAGGTGCCTGAATCAGCAGACTTGGCTGACAACGCATTTAATGTGGAAGATCAAATTTCAAAAGGGAAGGTGACTGTATCTAGAAACGAGGAGAACGTTGCATGGGTACCGATGCAGATTGGAAATGATCTCCCAGTTTTTGAACAAAGCAATGATTACTCAATGGGTGGAGTCCATCCCCATCTGGCAAGTGAAGGGACCCACCCCCCAGCTTCCATCCTGAATCAACTCATGGGCCATGAGGCAAACTCAAAAAATCAACAAACTTTACGTGTACCAAATATGGGCCCATCGAAATATGGATTATGCTACAAAAGGAAGGTTGGTTTGAGTAAGCCCAATATTAAAGACAATAAAGCAAGGGAGGAGGCGACTTTTAGTGATTCAGCAATTCATGACAGGAAAAAGACAAGGCAAAGAGATGCAGAGGAAAGAAACCGAGAGGTGATAGAAGAGGAACGAAGTAGGCAACCATTTTGGGAAGGCCTCGCAAGCGACAATGAAATCCTACAGGTGAGGGCGGAAAGGATTGTACGAGAAAGGAGGAGGAAAAGAAAGCAAACAAGGATGACCAAGGAGGTCAAGGATAAGGAGTTATATCCAAATCAGCCCATAACCACAGAATCGTCACCCAAGGAAGGAGGCAAGAAAAATTGGAGTGAGGAAGCACAGAATTATGGATGATAGGGAAGCAATTAGGCTTGGTGGCGGAAGAAAATGCAGAGGAAATCATAAGACAACTGGGTGAAATGGAAAAAAGGGACAGAACCGCAATGGCCAAACAGAAGATGGAGAAAGCATCTGTGAGGGGAAAGGAGACAGTTTACCCATGAAGATTTTGTCAATTAATATCAGAGGGATGGGTGGTAGCAGTAAAAAGAGAGGTTTGAGGGAAGCAATTAAAAAAGAGAAAGTGGATATGTTATTCATTCAGGAGTCAAAAATGGAGGTATGTGATAAATACATTTGTAGATCAATTTGGGGATCAGATAATTGTGAATGGGTGGCATCTCCGGCAAATGGGAAATCAGGGGGTATCCTATGTATTTGGAATCCAGACATATTTGTACTAATCAAAGAGATATATGGCAGTGGTTTTTGTGGTATGAAAGGTTTTTGGGGAAGGGAGCAGATTCCTTGTATTTTCATTAATGTGTATTCTCCTTGTGATAAACAAGGTAAACGCAGGCTATGGGATGAGCTTCTGAGTTTAATTGAAGAACATGGGGGTGGAAATTGGTGTATTGGTGGTGATTTCAATGCTATTAGAGATGTGGAAGAGAAGAAGGGCAAGTGTTTTGATATAGTTGATGCTAGGGATTTTAATAAATTCATTGCAGATGCAGGTTTAGAAGACATCCCTATGATAGGTAGGAAGTTCACTTGGTACAAATCAGACGGTTCAGCGATGAGCAGGTTAGCAATTCCTTAGCAATTTCCTTAGCAGGTTTTTACTCTCTTCTGAATTCCTTAGCAATTTCCCGGATGTTTCTCAATGGGGGTTGAAGAGAGACTTGTCTGATCACTGTCCTATTGTACTTAAACAATCTCACATTGACTGGGGGCCCAAACCCTTTCGATGCTTGGATAGCTGGCTAAACCATGAAGGATTTGACAAATTTGTTCAAGAGAGGTGGGATAGTTACAGGGTGGAAGGATGGGGTTGTTTTAGACTGAAGGAGAAGCTGAAGTCCTTGAAGAAGGATTTGAAGTGCTGGAACAGGGACATCTTTGGAAATATAGAGAGGAATATTGAAGTAGCAAAAGAGGAAATAAGGAAGTTGGATGAGAAGGCAGAGAAAGGCTCATTCACAGAGGAGGAAGTGGCAAAAAGGAAAGATTGTTTTTTCAGCCTTTGGGAGTGGAGTAGGGCTAAGGACAATCTACTGCATCAGAAATCAAGACAAAGATGGCTTAAGGAGGGTGATGCAAACAGTAAATACTTCCATGGGTGTGTGGCAAAAAGAAGGAAGCATAACGGAATTAATGGCATGTGGATCAATGGAGAATGGACCGACGATGCCATGAAAATCAAAAGCTTCACCAAAGACTTCTACAAAAGAAAATTTGAGGAAGATGTTTGGAACAACTAAAAGTTCCAAAGGTACCTTTTTCTGGTCCAAGAGCACATCAAAACATCAAAACATGTTGGTGGCTGAATTTTCTGAAGAAGAAATCAAGGAAGCAGTGTGGAGTTGCAATGGAGGTAGAAGCCCGGGCCCGGATGGACTAAATTTCAACTTTATCAAAAGAATGTGGCCAACCATGAAGGGGGACATATGCAGATTCATAAAAGAGTTCCACTCCAATGGAAAACTGGTGAGGGGTAGTAACGCATCTTTTATTGTCTTGGTACCCAAAAAGGATAATCCTATTAGTTTACTTGATTATCGTCCAATCTCTCTCATTGGGTGCATGTATAAAATAGTCTCTAAACTCCTTGCTAACCGAATGAGAAGAGTTATGGATTCCATCATTAGCCCCAACCAATCTGCTTTTGTTGGAGGGAGACAGATTGCAGATGGTATTATAATCACAAATGAACTGATTCATGAGGCAAAAAGAAGGAAGAAAGCCACAGTATTTTTCAAGGCAGACTTTGAAAAGGCTTATGACAGCGTGAATTGGGAATTTCTAGATTTCATGTTAGGTAAATTGGGCTTCTGTTCAAAATGGTGTTCTTGGATCAAAGGATGTCTTCACTCTGCTTCTGTCTCGGTTTTGGTAAATGGCAGTCCTACGGAAGAGTTTCAAATATCGAAAGGGCTTCGCCAAGGTGACCCACTAGCCCCTTTCTTATTTCTTGTGGTGGCTGAGGCTCTTAATGGTTTAATAATAAAAGCAGTAGAAGAAGGAATCTTTAAAGGGGTGTCTATTGGTCATGGGGGAATGGAAATAACACACCTACAATTTGCGGATGATACAATCCTTTGTTGTGAGGCAACTAGGAAGAATGTATGGGCAATCAAATGCATCTTCAGGAGCTTTGAGCTTGTTTCAGGCTTGAAGGTCAATTTTTTTAAAAGTTCTTTAATTGGAGTTAATGTGGAAGAAGAGGATTTGAATGTTCTGGCTGATATGCTAAATTGCATGGTGGGAAAGATACCGTTCATGTACCTCGGGGTCCCTGTGGGAGCTAATCCAAGGAAAGTATCTACCTGGACTCCTGTGATTGAGTGTTTTAGACGTAAATTGTCAACTTGGAGGTGCGACTCGTTGTCTTTTGGTGGGCGGATTATTCTTCTGAACGCTGTCCTCTCGAGTATCCCGGTCTACTATTTCTCAACCCTTAAAGCACCCAAGAAGGTAATAAATATTCTGTCTCTAATTCAGAGAAGGTTTCTTTGGGGAGGAAGTGAGGAGAGTGCTAGGATTGCTTGGGTGGGGTGGGAGAAAGTGTGTAGGAAAAGAAGGGATGGGGGTCTCGGAGTAAAAAATTTAGGACTCTTTAATGTGGCATTGCTAGGAAAGTGGAGATGGAGGTTGTTAGAGGATGAAGAATCTCTATGGAGTAGGTTTTTGTGGTATAAATATGATGTGAAGGGAACGAATGTTTGGAGTGGAGGTGAGTGGGGTACGTCTTGCTCTAGGTGGTGGAAAGATATATGGAAGCTGGATGACAGTGATATGGGTAGCGAAGGATGGTTTAAGATGGGGATTGAGAAGTTGGTTGGGGAAGGGAATGGAACATTATTTTGGCATGACCAATGGGTGGGTGATTATTCATTGAAAGATAGATTTTATAGATTGTTCAATATATCAAGCAATAAGGAGGCTTTGATATCTAATATGGGAGAATGGAGAGATGGGGAATGGCAATGGAGTTGGAGTTGGAGGAGAGAGCTTTTTGCTTGGGAAATTGACATCCTGCAAGAACTTAGAGAGGAAGTTCGAAAAAGGAAGTTGGTTCAAGGACAAGAAGACAGATGGATATGGAAGAAGGATCCTAGAGGTAAATATTCAGTGTCCTCTGCATACAATCTATTAAATACAACTCCCATCCCTAATTTGCCTGGAGACTACAATCTGATATGGAATGGAAGGGTACCATTAAAAGTTGCTGCTTTTGCTTGGAAAGTGATGCAAAATAGAATCCCAACAAAAGATAATCTACAGAAACGAGGAGTGTTGGGCAGTGAAGAAGATCAGTCATGTGTTTTATGTGGGAAAGAAGCTGAAAGTGTAAACCATCTTTTGTTTTCGTGTCCAATAGCATGGAAGGTGTGGTCATCATGTTATCAGTGGTGGGGTATTAATGTGGTGGCCCAAGAAAAGGGTTGGAACCACCTGATCCAGCATGCTGGACTTTTCAACAATAAATTCGCAAAGGAAGCTTGGAAGGTGATTTGGTTTGCAGTTGTATGGAATATGTGGCTATGGAGAAATCAGAAGATCTTTAAGGCAAAGTTGGAACCTCAGGACAAGATGATTGAGGTGATTAAATTCCAAACCTTCCAATGGATTAAAGCAAAACAGTGGCCAGAAATCTCAAAGGAGCTATGGTATATATGTCCTGCTCACGCTTGTGAAACGGCATCAAAAAGGATGCCTTAGTTGGCCAGCAAAGAACACACGGGGATGAAAACAGCTGTAGGATAAGGAAGGCCATGCCAACACTGTTTGGATGATCTATATTTTGGGGTAGATTTTGGGGTAAACTTTCGTATGAAAGTGTTGTTTGTATCACCCTAATTATATTACTTACTCTTTTTGTACAGGTAGGAGTACCCCTTGTACTCCAACTTAATAATATTATCTTTTGCTGATCAAAAAAAAAAAAACATTCAGAATAACTACAAAGGCTAGTTGTAGAAGTTCCATGGGTAAACTTGCCCACATTTT